ATCATCAAGTCTCCAATGGACATTTCATCTATCGAGACAATCAATGTGCCTGACAGCAGATACTTAAGGAAGATTGATGTAGATGTGGCAAACTCATCTATCTTTGTGTCAGATGCATACACGAGATCAATTGTCAAAATAAATGTTGATGGTTCAAATTACCAACAAGTATGTAAGAATTTCCATAGCTTTCTTTCATAAACTATAAAAATTTTTTGTTAATGAACTTCAACTGAGTTAGTCATGAACTTCATTCCGAGATGATGATATTGAAGAAAAGCTGCCTTACAAGGCAGCATCGATCTTCTCTCCAATTAGCATCCAAAAGATTGCCGTAACCTGAGAGTAGTTAGGGTACCAGGCAGAGCTATGACCTTCATAGCATCTTAGGAAGGCAGTACTCATCTTCTCTCTAATTAGCATCTAAAAGACTGCTGTAACCTGAGAGTAGTTAGTGTACCATGCGGGGCTATGACCTTCATAGCATCCTATGAGGCAATGAGTTTTACTTGGCAGTACACATTTCTCTCCAATTAGCATCCAAAAGACTGCTGTAACCAGTCTAGGAGAAGGAAACTCTCAAGTGAAATCAGCTGCTGCCTTGTAGATCCTGCCTCCTTAGGCAAAATCTGGAAGAATGTGTCTTTGACAACAAATTTCACATCTGAGATGAAGGACAAGTTACATGAACATCTCCAGTTAAAATAGCAGGAGAGGGTGGATCCTATAGTTTTGCGTGTCAACTAGTCTAGGAAAAATAAACTCTGAATTGAAACCACCTGCTGCCTTGTAGTACTTGCCTCCTTATGCAAAGTCTAAAGGAAGCTGACTTCAAAAACAAATTCACTTCTGAGAGGAGGGACTGGGTAACCTTAACATCCACAGTGCGAAAGCAACTGGCAAGCCATTGCACTATTCTGACTTGAATGATATCATGAACGACAACTGTTAGATGGAGGGGAGTGTTGACCTCAGCAGTGGTGCAAAATGTGCTAACTGAATAAGATGATGAATGATTTTAATTTAGTAGGTGTCTGAATGGGGTGGTACCAATTTTGTCACAGTAATTTCTCTACCTTATGTCACCCTCCCATCATCATCAGGGTTCTGTTGCCAATGCGGTTAAGGCAATCTTTCTGGCAGAAATGGCTTTTGATATGTGGAAAGTGAGTTCTTGGCTTGTCTGATGCTGCTTTGTTTAAATTTAAAGAAATTTGAAAATAACAAAAGTATAATTTCTGTCTAATTTATTTTTTCAATCCACCTTAAGGTAATCTCAAAAGGAACTGGCTATTTTGGAGACTTGGCTGTCGATTGGATTGGTCGTAATCTTTATTGGACCGACATGCGCTTCAGTACTGTGGAAGTAGCAACTCTGGAAGGAAAAAACCGAAAGATTTTATTGAAAGGAAATGATTCAGACCCAATGAGCATTGTTTTGGATCCCAGGGAAGGGTATGTAGTTCATTCAGTGACAAAATGATGATGACAATATTAGCCGTTTCCTTATAAGGAAACATTTGGCATTTTTTGACTTAGCAACCAGTGTTAATCAAGTTATACTTTTCTTCACTCCCTGATAATCGGACTGGCATCAGCATGTAATATATTTTCTCATCTCTAAGGTTAATATTAACTGTTTCTTTATGTGGACAACTTTAACATTCATTGAGCAAAGCAGTCGGTGTTGCTTATCTGGTCGTATCCAATGAAGTTTCAGATATCATGGCAATTCATGATTTGGTTCCATTAAGATCGATTGAAGTCGGTGTGTATTTATATTGTATCCTTTGCTATTGTAAATCTGGTTATTCTACTCTTGTATTAAGTTGTACTAAACATTGGAATTTGGGCACCTGGGGGCGGTGTAATGGTTAACAAGCTTGTCTCGCTAAAACAATAATGATTGCATTGTGAGTCCAATACTCACTGGGTGCTCTCTAATTTCGGCCTTGTGCCACGTTTAAACTATGCTTGGAAAATCACTAAACATTGGAATTAGAACCATTTATGATTTGGCAATTTTCAACAGCCGCATAAATCTTTGTTGTTCAGATCTACAAATTTTAACCTCAAAATATGACAAACAAATAAAAATTCTTGTTCTTCCGAATATTTTTTCTTTTCCATTTACAAAAGTCATAACAAACAGAATTTTTATTACACACAACCCTTAACCTTAGGATAAAAAGTCATTATGGGTTGGTCTTTATTGGTAGTGGAAAGAAACAAGGCTTAGTCTTTTGAAGTTCAGTTTAATGAAATAACCAATGACTTGGTTCCATTAAGATGAATTCAGGGTAGGTGTGTATTTATATGGTATTATTTGCTCTTATAAATCTGGTTATTCTCTTATCGTTGTATTAGGTTGTACTAAACATTGAAATTTGGACACCTGAGGTCGGTGTAATGGTTAACAAGTTTGTCTCACTAGAATAATTACAACTGAGTAGTGAGTTCGATCCTCACTGGGTGTCCCCTAATTTTAGCCTTGTGCCACATTTAAACTACGCCTGCAAAATCACTAAACATTGGAATTAGAACCTTTGATGATTTTCAGTCTTTGTTTCTCAGATTTACAAATTTTAACCTCAAAATATGACAAACAATTAAAGACTCTTGTTCTTTTGAATTTTTTTTTTTTTTCCATTTACAGAAGCCGTTTTATGTTTTGGTGTGACTATGCATACCATCCTTCTATAAAAAGAGCTGGAATGGATGGAACCAACATAACGGTGATTGTATCTGAGAAAATCAAATTTATCACTTCCCTGACCATTGATTACCCAAATCAATATCTCTACTTTGTTGACAAAGATTTGGATTTTATTGATTTCTGCGATTATAATGGAAAACATCGGCAACGTGTGTTATCAAGTTACAGTGTAAGGGATTATTTTTTAATTATTTAATTAAAAATTGTTGCTTTCTAATTTTCATTTATTCACTATGACACACACATACATCCAAACATAACAAGTAGCGGAATGGGCGTATAAAATGCATGACAACTTTTGGAGTGCCACATATTGAACATCTACATACTATAAGCCATAACACTGAACACTACTCAAACATTCCTGCGGCATTTACACAGGGTACTGTTCCTAGTCCTATATATATATAAAACATTGTCTGGGTCTCAAGCTGGTCTTTAAGTTATAAGGCATCAAACGGTTGTCTTCGAGTATAGAATCCAGAGGTTAGCAGTGAATATTTCGGAGACAGTAGGAAAGCGTAGTTTTTCCTTCTGTCATCTTTGCCGGACAAGTTGGCACTGGTAGGGTAGGGTAAACAAAAATGGCCGCCTTTATACATGACGGATACAATGTTCTGCGGCTTCTGATTGGTTAACCTTCTATTGGTAGACTATAAAGGGAGTTAAGTCATTTTGACTAACTCACTAGTTACATGTATATATACACAGAAAACTGTAACACTGTCAAACCTTCATATGTCAAAAAGTTTGTCATTATATATATATATATATATATATATTATAATTATTTTTGAAAATATGATTCCTTCGCTACATAAGAGTTCTCATGTTTCAAAAACAAGAGCTGAAAACTTCAATATAATTATTAGAATTAAATTGAATTAAAGTATCAAGCCATGTTTCATCTTCAAGCGAAATTTTTGGAATGACTAATCTTGAAATTTACATGTTTTTATAAACATATTCATTCATAAAATTATTTACTATGGAAAGAGCTAGAGCAATTTGAATAAGGGGTGTAAGGATTAACTATTTGTATCAACATACCAGTTATTTTCAGAAAGAGGTCAACTCAAGGTAGGGTTGGGGTGTCTAATTAAAGCGGATGATGACATTTATACTCATAGGCTACACACACATACACACACGTGTGTGCGTATTTAGGCAGTAAATTCTCTTCTAGCGACAGCTAGAAACCACCATGCCATTTACATAGTAGCAAACCATCTACATTTCCTTTGTTCGAAGTAAGTTCCACTCAAACATGTTTTTCCTCTGAACCATGGTTATATGGAACCGATTCCCAAGAGGATGTTTCCCTGATCACCTCATTCTTAACCTGTACAAATTAACCATTATCTTCCCCATCTTATAAACTATTTCTTAACCTAACCCTCTATCTCAAATGGCCTCAGGGCCTTGTACAGGGTGGACATTACTGAAATATATATGGGAAAAAAAAAAAGAACTCACAAAGGTGAGGATAAGTCATAAAAAATACAAATCAGTTAATCAACAATCCTATTTCCTCACTTTCATTTAGTAGGCAATAAATTACATCACTTACCATCCTCTAGAGTTTATTTTTTCTTACACGGCTATCTTTAAATATATTTTAGAGCATTGTCAAATTTGAAAGTTAGAAAATAAAATTTCACATTTACCTGGATAAACTTCCTCGAGGGGGGAGTAATGTACAGGCTGTTCTAGCATCAATCCTCCACCTTCACCAAAGTTCAAAGAGGTCTCATCCATTCTCCGTCATTCCCTCTCCCCCCACTCAATGTGCATCAACACATAGATTCCACTTCTTCTTAAGGTATACACTCGTACCAATATATTAATCCTACTCAACAAAGATGACTATGACACTGTATTGATTCCAACACAATTCCAAAATGCTCATATCTTTGAATTATTTTAAGTTTCAGTTTTGGAGAATTCATTAATTACGGGTTCTAATAACTCGGTCCAGTTAGGGGCTGTTCGTTTCATAAGAGGCAAGAAGGTAGATTTCCACTAGATTACGATGATGGAGAAGTCTAACAATGAGTCAAGTCACACTAAAATCATGCATCTTTCACTAAACTATGTGCCATAAGCTAGGGAAGGTTACTAAATAGAATAATCAAAGGTTGGTATTGAACAATAATACTTAAGACAAGAACAACACACATAAGATTCACCAGCGGTGCATAGAAGTAGTCAACTGCTAGAAGTGAGTCAAGTGAATTCCACAATGAATCTCCAACTGCAGACCAACATACAGTATTTACTACTGTATTTATGTGAATGGGGACATACGCATTATCATCTATAGGTATGCTACAACACTGATACTGGAGATTATGATTACTGGCTAAAATTTACATCAGATATACAGTGAATGGTCAACAGGCAGTCCCATGTTAGGTTTGGTTCAGTGACCATGACACAATATAAACAAATATTTGATGCAATCGCCAGGATTATCAAATTACTCAATACTGCAAATTATTAAACAATATTTCATGCAATAATATAACTCAGTCAGTGTGACTGCCCTGTTAGACATGAAGCCTTCAATTTAGAGTATACTTTTAATTTATTTAAAAAAGAAATTTATAATATTTTGAATTTTTTTTTTTTCAGCTTCTTCAGAATCCTCGTGGTTTGACAGTGTTAGAGGATCGTGTTTATTGGATTGATCGAGGTACAAATGTGATTTATCACTGCAATAAATTCAGGTGTGACAGAAAGAAGATAATCAGTTCTCATTTCCGCACACTTCAAGATATTGTTAGTTATTCTAAAGTGAGACAACCATCAAGTGAGTATTCTTTTATTTTTCTTATGGGCCACATAACTTTTATGTCCACACACTGGGCAATTAATTTTTATGGCGACACACATGGGTCATGTAATTTTAAAGCCAACACACTCAGGCCAATTAATTTTTATGGTGATGCATTTAGGCCACTTAATTTTTATAGTGATGCATTTAGGCCACTTAATTTTTATAGTAACACACATGGGCCACATAATTTTTATAGTAACACACATGGGCCACATAATTTTTATGGCAACACACATGGGCCACATAATTTTTATAGTAACACACATGGGCCACATAATTTTTATGGCAACACACATGGGCCACATAATTTTTATGGCAACACACATGGGCCACATAATTTTTGTGGCAACACACTCAAGCCACTTAATCTTTATGTCCACACACTTCGGCCACTTAATCTTTATGGCAACACACATAGGCCAATTAATTTTTATGTCCACACACTTCGGCCACTTAATTTTAATGGTGACACTCTTAGGCCATAATGGCAACACGGTTGGACCACTTAATTTTTATAGTAACACACATGGGCCACATAATTTTTGTGGCAACACACATGGGCCACATAATTTTTGTGGCAACACACATGGGCCACATAATTTTTGTGGCAACACACTCAAGCCACTTAATCTTTATGTCCACACACTTCGGCCACTTAATCTTTATGGCAACACACTTCGGCCACTTAATCTTTATGGCAACACACATAGGCCAATTAATTTTTATGTCCACACACTTCGGCCACTTAATTTTAATGGTGACACTCTTAGGCCATAATGGCAACACGGTTGGACCACTTAATTTTTATCGCAACACTCTACTAGTATAACTTTATAATAAATTGCCTATTTAAGGAATAATTCCATATCAATAAAGTCAACTTGTATCCATAAAAGCTTAGCTAGGAAATGTAAACATTGAGTTAGGGTTGCCTTCACATCAATGGAATGTATTATTATCATAATATATCAAACTGTTAATAGCAATATTTAAAAATGCATTAAAAATTATTTGCAAATGATTTTACTATAAAAATCCATTACAAATGATTTTACTATAAAAATCCATTACAAATGATTTTACTATAAAAATCCATTACAAATGATTTTACTATAAAAATCCATTACAAATGATTTTACTATAAAAATCCATTGCAAATGATTTTATGATTGAAAATTTATTGCACATGATCTTTCTATGAATATGCAATTTGTTTTGGGAGTATCAAATTTTCCAAGCCCTCTTTCTTCATTATGTTGGCCTAGAAATTTCAACTATCTCTTCCTAATGTTAACTATGTGTCCTTTTTGTTTAAATTTTTTTCTAAAACTTCATCATTGCTTACATGTTCAGTTCATGTGATTCTCAGTATCCTTCTGTCGAACAACATTTCTGTTCCTTCAGTTGGCACCTCAGTCACTTAAGTGTCATACATGATGTGGGCTTAGGCGATCATTTCTCTTTCGATTCTTGGCTGATTTGGTAAAGATTTTTCCACAGTAGATTGGCATTTCTTTCTCTAGTAAACTGCTTTCCAACCAAAGCTATAGAGCCCAGTCTGTCCTGCTGTTCAACCCATAGCTTGGGGGGAGGAGAAGAGATGGTTTCATACCTGCATTCCTTAAATAAGGTCTTCAAAGAAATGATAAAATATTTTCAGGAGATTCTCGGAAAGATTCAATGATGGAATCATGAAAACTGACTTGATGTCTCCTGTTTCCCAGTAATAAAATACCTTCTTTCATAATGTCTCATGTTATTCGTGCTGCACAAATGTCTTTAAAATATGTAAATATCCTAACTTTCAGGTTCTAATCCTTGCTTCCAGTCTTCGTGTAGCCATCTATGTCTGCTGTCTCCATTAAATCCAGGGTATAAGTGTGCTTGTCCGATTACAATGCAACTTGACAATGACGGGAGAAAATGTGTTACATGTAAGTACTAATACTGTCTATAATTTAGAAAAGGAGTTATAATTCAAGCAGTTTTTCTGACTGCTTGTCTCATTATTTTATGTCTATGATTTCTTCTTGAATTCTGAATTGTGGAGAGTCACTTTTTGTATTTTGTTGTTTTCTTAAAATGTAAAAACTATTGCAAATCCTAGAAGCCTTTATCATACACAAAAACAAAAGCTCATTATCAGTAAAGTTTCATGCAATTTAAGGACAAACATACTAAATACCAACCAAAGAATTTAAATGGTCAATTGTTTTTTTTTACAGACTTTTAGATATTTCATATCAGTTATTTATCACATATATATATATATATATATATATATATATATATATGTATGTATACAAGCATGTTTGCTTAAATAATTTAGATGTTTTATGTCTATTTATTTTAGTTTTAATCCTTTCAAGTTCACAAATTAGTTTCTTGATGAGTGTAGAAAATTGATCAAGAAAAATATCAAAATTTTCTTTCAAATAATTTTTATTTTTCAAAGTACTTTCAATCTCATGAGGGACCATCCTAAGGGGGTCAAAGTCTCCGTGGATGTGTATACAGTAGCTCCCTAAATTAAAAATGTTTTTTTTCATAGTTCCTTTCACAATATTCTAGTATCAAAATCAAATTCAAGGTTTTTCTCTTCTTCAAGAGAGGGAACTTTTGTCATTTTTTTTTTTAATATGATGCCTGAATATACATAAAAGCATGAAACCCAAGGTCACAAACTCATATCCATACAACTGAATATTTTAGCTCTATCACTGATATTGAATACTTTCCACTAAATACTGCACATATAAAATAATGATATATGTATAACAAAAAATTATATATATATATATGCCCAAGTATACGGTGTGTGTGTGTGTGTGTGTGTATATATATATATATATATATATATATATATATATATATATACCCAAGTATATGATTTGTGTGTGTATGTATATATATATATATATATATATATATACAGACCCCAAGAAATTGGGAATCCATTATCTGAAATTCTGGCATTTCATGCTGTCCATTTTATAGATGCTATATACAAATTAAATAACCTGTATCCCAAAATCTGAAAATCAAAGAACTTATTTTATTAAATTTTATATATAACTTCTTTCATAATATCCCTTTACATTTCATACCACAGCTAATACATATACCCAGAAAGTTATTTTATATAAAATTTAATAAATCTTTGTCTACATACAGATACAGGTAATGATGCTAGTTATGTAATGTCTGCACGGACTTTTAAGTGGTCAAATTAAGATTTCACATAAAAATAATGGTTTGTACTTAACATACATATACAAAAAAATCACCATTTACAAAAAATATATAAATGCAATACCAAACATTACTTCTATATCAGGTATGAAACACTGTGAGAGTGAGAAGGAAAATTTGGTAAGCTACAAGTCTCTGCCGAAGATGTTGTGTTTTGATTAAAATGTTATAATACTTACAGGTACAGGATTTGTATAAAAAAGAAACATGGATTCTAGTTACAGTTAAATGTAATGCAAAATAATCAGCAAGTCATGTAAACACCTGAAAAACTTTCATATTTTGGAGGTTTTCATATTTTGTAATTTGGGAGAAGGGATATTAAACCTGTGTGTGTGTGTCTCTCTCTCTCTCTCTCTCTCTATATATATATATATATATATATATATATATATATATAGGTAAAAAAAAATCGTGGGTAAGTATTCCAAGTAGATCCTATTGATATAAAATATTAAAATTGATCCACAAAAGAAAGCTCAATATAATAATAGGCCATTTAAGTTTTGAGGCAATTTTTTCAAAATGTTGAAAATATTTCTCTACATCTGCCTCATTGAATGCTGGTATGAGTTTGTCCTGCTGGGTCAGGTCAAAATCGCTCCACCTTTTGTCATGGAGCATTCTTCAATCCTTGATTGTCAAGTCTCCTGGTCAATTCTTGCCTTTTCTGCTTCGGCTTTTATTCTAGCTTTTTCTATCTCTATTTTGGCCGTTTTTCCTTTCGGCTTCGATTTTGGCTTTCTTTAACTCAAGTTGAGCCGGCGAAAATCCGGATGATTCTGCTGCAAGGCCACACAATACATCTGCAAAGATGTCATTGTTGACCATGTGTTCAGCCATTATCCTAATTAACTCTACCTTCCTCATTAATCACCTCACTTCTAACTCTAATTTTAACTCTACTTTACAAATGCTATGCTTTTTCAGTCTGACTAATCCTTCATATGTGGGAGAATCTAGTAATGCATTCACTACTGCCATCTTGGCAGTAGTGTACTCTGCTATCCAACAATTGTGCTATTTTCTCTCTCTGAAGTCTTATAGAGGAAGAGAATATCCTCGAGATGAGCCCCCAATGATTATTGGGCAACTATACGCTCGTTAGGAATGATGAACGTACGCCCCACAAATGAAAATTGAAAATAATGCTGACATACCAAAATTACACAAAAATATCTCCAAGTACAAAAGAGTAAATTTATTCAATTAAATCAACATTGGCTTCAACCACGGCCTCTAGACGACTTTAGAATATCCTGCAACTCTTCTTCACTGTCCCTTTGTTTAAGCTGGTGAATACTGGCATCATCTTTGCTGTTACAAGGAGTTTTATTGATCTCTCACTCAACTGCACTCCACACATAATCAAGGGTTTTGCAGTTTGTGGAGTTAGGTGGTCTGATGTAATGGGTGACGTGGTCGCTGAAATTGTCTGACAGCCATGACTGGTTTCTCCTCTTGTGTGGCATGGTGCAGAGTCCTGTTGCCAGACACAGGACATTGCCTTGGGTCAAGATGCCTGCTTGAGCAGGGCAACACTATCTCCTCAAGGCACTTGATGTAGACCTCTATGATGAGTATGAGGCCCTTACCATCAAATTCATGTGTTCCCTTCTTATCAGAATGATCAGAGTGAGTTTTCCAAGTTGCCACCTTTGTAATCATCATTAGTATCGTCCAACTCTTCTTGAATCCTTTGAACTGTCCTCAGATTTATACCCAAACATTGAGAAATGTTCCTATGGGAGCTTTCGGCATAAATGCCAAGCAGTACATCATGCTGCTTCCAAATTTCTGGTGGAGTGAATTACGACATAGTGCTCTTTTACTCACAGACTATACCCAACTGACCCTGCTATACTGCGCAGTCGAAAAAATCCCAAACAATGTGCCTGCATGAAATTAAAAATATTAAATGGTGACAATTTTCCCATTGCACCCTGCACACACACACACACATATACATACATATATATATATATATATATATATGTACTTTAAAAATCAGGAGATCAGTTGAATCTGTTGTCTTTGTTTTTTTATTTTTTATATATTATATTACTAGAGCCCGGCATTGCCCGAGAATGTAACAGTAGGAGATAGATCAAGTATCGACCATCATAAAGACTGAAAAATAAAATTGACAAAGATTATTGTTTAAAGTTGACGGACACGCATATCTTAATTAGTTTTTTTTGTTGTTTTTTTTTTTACAAATTACTCAAACAAAAACATTGTTTTCAATTGTTATGAGTCTACCGATTGAATAGAATTTTATTATAAACAATTGTCTTGCAAATAGAATTTTAAAAAGCATTCTGAATGTAAAATAAAGAAAAAGTGTGCAAGACAATAAGAAACACTACCTGCCAAAAAAAAAGTGAAGTTTTGTTGAAATCGGTTGAAAAATGTAGGAAATCCGATCCCATATATAAACGAACACGCACACACACACACACACACACACACACACACACACACAAGCAATGTGGATTTTATAATAAGTATAACTCGATATGAGTTGTCCCCCTTTCATTCTGGCGACAGAATCATGTTTTATCATGTTTTCAAATTGATTTCGGGCAAAAACAATTGTGTTTTTCCAATTTTTGGCGCTGTCAGAACCACCGCAAGGTAATTTTACACAGTCCTGTGAAGTTTTGTTGAAATCGGTTGAAAAATGTAGGAAATCCGATCCAATATATAAACGTACAGACACACACACACACAATCTGCGTTTTATAATAAGTAAGATTTTTTAAATAATAAATAAACAAACACATGATATTGGATGTAATAGAAAGGGAGGAGGAAAATGTGAAGAAGTGAGAAAAGAAGAAAAGCAAGGTTGTTATAAAAGGGTCGGTGACAGTGGGGGTAATTGAACTGTACATTTATTTTTTTTTTTATCCAGCCTCATATTTGGTTCAGAGGAATTTCTTAATATGTGTACAAGGACTCAAGACTCCGGTTTCTGGTTCAAAATGTGCATTTGTTTATTTTTAAAAAAATAATCAAGCATTCATTAGTTTTCTTTAAAAAAAAATAAAGTGTTAAGAGGTCATTTGCCAAAAATCACCTGTGGATACTGTAAGGTTGAAACCAAGGTAGTGTATTTAATTGATCTCCTGGTATTTAAAGTTAAAAGCTCTAAATGTTATTTTTACTTTTATTTTATTTTATTTTTTTCATGTATATTGAGCACTTTTTAATATCACTCTTTCCTGGTTTTATTCAACTCTGACCATTAACCTTTCATGATTTATTATTTATATATATATATATATATATATATATATATATATATGTATTGTCAAGGTGAATGATATGCAGGGAAGAATGAGTGCTTAATATATTTATTCAGCACCAGTATCCAATGCTAATGGATACATACAAAAAACAACAGAACAATAAGTTAAAAACAATTAACAAGACAACTTACAAGGAATAGATGAGGGTCAAATGTTGTATAGCCAAGCAAGTAAGATCAGTCTGAATATTAATCAGCTTAGTATCAACTTAACTGCTGAAGTCCTTAATCGTAGACTATGAGCTATGTGATCTAGTAGACTGGTGAAGGGTGCTAGTTACTCTACGATATATATATATATATATATATATATATATATATATATAAGTATATGAATGTGGTTTTAAACTCACGCAAAAAACAACAAAAACACAATCAGA